GCAAAAGTGGTGGGGGACTACAAGGAAAAGGTTCTTGGATCAAGTGGTGGGACACTGAGGAAAAATGCAGGCAGAAGGCAGATGTAAAAGGAATGAAAAGGAAAAAAATAATTGTGACAGATGTAAGAATGGGGACTACAAAAGAAAAGGTGCTTGGATCAAGTGGTGGACACTGAGGAAAATGCAATTGTGGCAGGCAGATGTAAGGAATGAAAAGGGGAAGCATTGTGTCAAAAGTGTTGGGGACTACAAGGAAAAGGTACTTGGATCAAGTGGTGGGACACTGAGGAAAATGCAATTGTGGCAGGCAGATGTAAGGAATGAAAAAAGGAAAACATTGTGACAAAAGTGGTAGGGACTACAAGGAAAAGGTTCTTGGAATCATCAAGTGGTGGGACACTGAGGAAAGTATGCACTTGTGGCAGGCAGATGTAAGGAATGAAAAAGGGAAAGAATTGTGTCAAAATATGATGGGGACTACAAGGAAATGGTTCTTGGATCAAGTGGTGGGACACTGAGGAAAATGCACTTGTGGCAGGCAGATGTAAGGAATTAAAAAGGAAAGAATTGTGTCAAAAGTGATGGGGACTACAAAGGAAAAGGTTCTTGGATCAAGTGGTGGGACACTGAGGAAAAATGCAATTGGACAGGCAGATGGGAAATTAAAAGGGAAAACAATTGTGACAAAAGTGGTGGGGACTACAAGGAAAAGGGAGCTTGGATCAAGTGGTGGGACACTGAGGAAAGTGCACTTGTGGCAGGCAGATGTAAGGAATTAAAAGGGGAAACATTGTGACAAAAGTGATAGGGACTACAAGAAAAAGGTTCTTGGATCAAGTGGTGGGACACTGAGGAAAATGCACTTGTGGCAGGCAGATGTAAGGAATTAAAAAGGAAAGCATTGTGACAAAAGTGGTGGGGGACTACAAGGAAAAGGTTCTTGGATCAAGTGGTGGGACACTGAGAGGAAATACAATTGTGGCAGGCAGATGTAAGGAATGAAAAGGGAAGCATTGTGTCAAAAGTGGTGGGGACTACAAGGAAAAGGAAAATTACTTGGATCAAGTGGTGGGACACTGAGGAAAATACACTTGTGGCAGGCAGATGTAAGGAATGAAAAGGAAAACATTGTGGACAAAAGTGGTGGGGACTACAAGGAAAAGGTTCTTGGATCAAGTGGTGGGACACTGAGGAAAATGCTACTTGTGGCAGGCAGATGTAAGGAATGAAAATGGGAAACATAAGCAGTAGGGACACAAGAAAAAAAGGTTGGATCATCAGTGGTGGGACACTGAGGAAAATGCACTTGTGGATGTAAGGAATAAAAAGGAAAACATTGTGGCAAAAGTGGGGGACTACAAGGAAAAGGTTCTTGGATCAAGTGGTGGGACACTGAGGAAAATACACTTGTGGCAGGCAGATGTAAGGAATTGAAAAAAGGGAAAACATTGTGTCAAAAAAGTGGTGGGACTACAAGGAAAAGGTTCTTGGATCAAGTGGTGGGACACTGAGGAAAATACAATTGTGGCAGGCAGATGTAAGGAATGAAAAGGGGAAACATTGTGACAAAAGTGGTAGGGACTACAAGGAAAAGTAGCTTGGATCAAGTGGTGGGACACTGAGGAAAAATACAATTGTGGCAGGCAGATGTAAGGAATGAAAAGGGAAAATTGTGGGACAAAAAATACACTTGTGATGGGGACTACAAATGAAAAGGTGGCTTGGACTCAAGTGGTGGGACACTGAGGAAAGTACACTTGTGGCAGGCAGATGTAAGGAATGAAAAGGGGAAGCATTGTGGCAAAAGTGGTGGGGACTACAAGGAAAAGGTGCTTGGATCAAGTGGTGGGACACTGAGGAAAGTACACTTGTGGCAGGCAGATGTAAGGAATGAAAAGGGGAAGCATTGTGGCAAAAGTGGTTGGGACTACAAAAAGGAAAAGGTGGGACACTGGAAAATCAATTGTGGTGGGACACTGAAAAGGAAAACACAAAGTGTGGGACTACAAGCAGGCAGATGAGGAAAATAAATTGTGGCAGGCAATGAAAATGAAAAGGAAAACATTGTGGCAAAAGTGGTAGGGACTACAAGGAAAAGGTGCTTGGATCAAGTGGTGGGACACTGAGGAAAATGCACTTGTGGCAGGCAGATGTAAGGAATGAAAAGGGAAAAAGAATTGTGTCAAAAATGGGGACTACAAGGAAAATGGTTCTTGGATCAAGTGGTGGGACACTGAGGAAAATGCAATTGTGGCAGGCAGATGTAAGGAATGAAAAGGAAAACATTGTGACAAAAGTGGTAGGGACTACAAGGAAAAAGGTGCTTGGATCAAGTGGTGGGACACTGAGGAAAATACAATTGTGGCAGGCAGATGTAAGGAAATTAAAAGGAAAAGAATTGTGTCAAAATATGGTGGGGACTACAAGGAAAAGGTTCTTGGATCAAGTGGTGGGACACTGAGGAAAAAGTGCACTTGTGGCAGGCAGATGTAAGGAATGAAAAAAGGGAAAAACATTGTGGCAAAAGTGGTAGGGACTACAAGGAAAAAAGGTTCTTGGATCAAGTGGTGGGACACTGAGGAAAATACAATTGTGGCAGGCAGATGTAAGAATGAAAAAGGGAAACATTGTGTCAAAAGTGTGATGGGGACTACAAGGAAAAGGTTCTTGGATCAAGTGGTGGGACACTGAGGAAAATGCTCTTGTGGCAGGCAGATGTAAGGAATTAAAAGGGAAAGCATTGTGGCAAAAGTGGTGGGGACTACAAGGAAAAAAGTGCTTGGATCAAGTGGTGGGACACTGAGGAAAATACAATTGTGGCAGGCAGATGTAAGGAATGAAAAGCAGATGTAAGGAATGAAAAAAGGTACTTGAAAGTGGTGGGACACACTGATTGTGTCAGATGTAAAGAATGAAAAGGGAAGCATTGGGACAAAAGTGGTACTAAAAAGGAAAAGGTTCTTGGATCAAGTGGTGGGACACTGAGGAAAATACAATTGTGGCAGGCAGATGTAAGGAATGAAAAGGGAAGCATTGTGACAAAAGTGGTAGGGACTACAAGGAAAAGGAGCTTGGATCAAGTGGTGGGACACTGAGGAAAAATACAATTGTGGCAGGCAGATGTAAGGAATGAAAAGGAAAACATTGTGTCAAATATGGTGGGGACTACAAGGAAAAGGTTCTTGGATCAAGTGGTGGGACACTGAGGAAAATGCAATTGTGGCAGGCAGATGTAAGGAATGAAAATGGGAAAACATTGTGACAAAAGTGGTAGGGACTACAAGGAAAAGGTGCTGGATCAAGTGGTGGGACACTGAGGAAAATACAATTGTGGCAGGCAGATGTAAGGAATGAAAAAGGAAAACATTGTGTCAAAATATGGTAGGGACTACAAGGAAAAGGTACTTGGATCAAGTGGTGGGACACTGAGGAAAGTACACTTGTGGCAGGCAGATGTAAGGAATGAAAAAGGAAAACATTGTGGCAAAAGTGGTAGGGACTACAAGGAAAAGGTGCTTGGATCAAGTGGTGGGACACTGAGGAAAGTACACTTGTGGCAGGCAGATGTAAGGAATGAAAAGGGAAAACATTGTGGCAAAAGTGGTGGGGACTACAAGGAAAAGGTGCTTGGATCAAGTGGTGGGACACTGAGGAAAAACATTGCAAATTTGTGGCAGGCAGATGTAAGGAATACACCAGGAAAAAGGGAAAAAAGGAAAAATTGTGGCAAAAGTGGTGGGGACTACAAGGAAAAGGTGCTTGGATCAAGTGGTGGGACACTGAGGAAAGTACACTTGTGGCAGGCAGATGTAAGGAATGAAAAGGGGAAGCATTGTGTCAAAAGTGGTGGGGACTACAAGGAAAAGGTACTTGGATCGAGTGGTGGGACACTGTGGAAAGTACACTTGTGGCAGGCAGATGTAAGGAATGAAAAGGGGAAAACATTGTGGCAAAAGTGGTAGGGACTACAAGGAAAAGGTGCTTGGATCAAGTGGTGGGATACTGAGGAAAGTACACTTGTGGCAGGCAGATGTAAGGAATGAAAAGGAAACATTGTGACAAAAGTGGTAGGGACTACAAGGAAAAGGTTCTTGGATCAAGTGGTGGGACACTGAGGAAAATACACTTGTGGCAGGCAGATGTAAGGAATTAAAAGGAAAACATTGTGGTAGGGACAAAAAAAGTGATGGGGACTACAAGGAAAAAAAGGTTGTGGCAAAAGTGGTAGGGACTAGGGGACTGGATCAAGTGGTGGGACACTGAGGAAAATACTCTTGTGGCAGGCAGATGTAAGGAATGAAAAGGGGAAAACATTGTGACAAAAGTGTTAGGGACTACAAAAAAGGTACTTGGATCATGGTGGGACACTGAGGAAAATACAATTGTGGCAGGCAGATGTAAGGAATGAAAAGGGAAAACATTGTGACAAAAGTGATAGGGACTACAAGGAAAAGGTACTTGGATCAAGTGGTGGGACACTGAGGAAAGTACACTTGTGGCAGGCAGATGTAAGGAATGAAAAGGGGAAAACATTGTGACAAAAGTGGTAGGGACTACAAGGAAAAGGTACTTGGATCAAGTGGTGGGACACTGAGGAAAAATACATTGTGGCAGGCAGATGTAAGGAAATGAAAAAGGAAAACATTGTGACAAAAGTGGTGGGGACTACAAGGAAAAGGTGCTTGGATCAAGTGGTGGGACACTGAGGAAAATGCAATTGTGGCAGGCAGATGTAAGGAATTAAAAAGGGGAAGCATTGTGGGAATCAAAAGCAGTGGGACAGGGACTACAAAGGAAAAAGGTGCTTGGATCAAGTGGTGGGACACTGAGGAAAATACAATTGTGGCAGGCAGATGTAAGGAATGAAAAGGGAAAGATTGTGGCAAAAGTGGTGGGGACTACAAGGAAAGGTTCTTGGATCAAGTGGTGGGACACTGAGAAAATCAAGTGTGGGACAGATGTAAGGAAAAAAGGAAACATTGTGGCAAAAGTGGTAGGGACTACAAGAAAAAGGTGCTTGGATCAAGTGGTGGGACACTGAGGAAAAAACAAGGCAGATGTAAGGAATTGTTGTGACAAAAGTGTTGGGGACTACAAGGAAAAGGTGCTTGGATCAAGTGGTGGGACACTGAGGAAAGTACACTTGTGGCAGGCAGATGTAAGGAATGAAAAGGGAAAACATTGTGGCAAAAGTGGTAGGGACTACAAGGAAAAGGTGCTTGGATCAAGTGGTGGGACACTGAGGAAAATACAATTGTGGCAGGCAGATGTAAGGAATGAAAAAGGAAAACATTGTGGCAAAAGTGGTAGGGACTACAAGGAAAAGGTGCTTGGATCAAGTGGTGGGACACTGAGGAAAATACAATTGTGGCAGGCAGATGTAAGGAATGAAAAGGGAAAGCATTGTGGCAAAAGTGGTGGGGACTACAAGGAAAAGGTGCGTGGATCGAGTGGTGGGACACTGAGGAAAGTACACTTGTGGCAGGCAGATGTAAGGAATGAAAAGGGAAAACATTGTGGCAAAAGTGGTGGGGACTACAAGGAAAAGGTGCTTGGATCAAGTGGTGGGACACTGAGGAAAAACACTTGTGGCAGGCAGATGTAAGGAAAACATGAAAAGGGGAAGGTGCATTGGTGGACAAAAGATGTGAGTGAAAATGGAAAACACTGGGACTACAAGAAAAGGGTGCTTGGATCAAGTGGTGGGACACTGAGGAAAATACAAATTGTGGCAGGCAGATGTAAGGAATGAAAAGGAAAGCATTGTGTCAAAAGTATGATGGGGACTACAAGGAAAAAGTTCTTGGATCAAGTGGTGGGACACTGAGGAAAATACAATTGTGGCAGGCAGATGTAAGGAATGAAAAGGGAAAACATTGTGGCAAAAGTGGTAGGGACTACAAGGAAAAGGTTCTTGGATCAAGTGGTGGGACACTGAGGAAAAATACAATTGTGGCAGGCAGATGTAAGGAATTGAAAAAGGGAAAAGAAGGCAGACAATTGTGTCATATATAATGGGGGGACTACAAAGGAAAAGGAAAAGGTTCTTGGATCAAGTGGTGGGACACTGAGGAAAATGCTCTTGTGGCAGGCAGATGTAAGGAATGAAAAGGGAAAGATTGTGTCATATATGATAGGGACTACAAGGAAAAAGGTTCTTGGATCAACACTGGTGGGACACTGAGGAAAATGCAATTGTGGCAAAGGCAGATGTAAGGAATTAAAAGGGAAGAATTGTGTCAAAAGTATGGTAGGGACTACAAGAAAAAGGTTGCTTGGATCTTGGGACACTGAGGAAAATGGTGGGACACTGAGGAATGAAAAAAGGAAGTATCTGGCAAAAGTGGTAGGGACTACAAGGAAAAGGCAGATGGATCAAGTGGTGGGACACAAAGGAAAAAGAATTGAATGTCAAATAATTGTAAAAGTGGACTACAAGGAAATGGTTCTTGGATCAAGTGGTGGGACACTGAGGAAAATGCTCTTGTGGCAGGCAGATGTAAGGAATTGAAAAGGAATGAATTGTGTCATAAATGATGGGGACTACAAGGAAAAGGTTCTTGGATCAAGTGGTGGGACACTGAGGAAAATGCAATTGTGGCAGGCAGATGTAAGGAATGAAAAGGGAAAGAATTGTGTCAAATATGATGGGGACTACAAGGAAATGGTTCTTGGATCAAGTGGTGGGACACTGAGGAAAATGTGGCAGGCAGATGGCAGGAAGCAGATGTAAGGAATTAAAAAGGGGAAGCATTGTGTCAAAAGTGGATGGGGACTAGGAAAGAAAAGGTTCTTGGATCAAAAGGTGGGACACTGAGGAAAATGCAAGGTTCTTGTGGCAGGCAGATGTAAGGAATTAAAAGGGGAAAAAAAAATTGTGACAAAAGCAGTAGGGACTACAAGAAAAGGTGCTTGGATCAAGTGGTGGGACACTGAGGAAAGTGCACACTGTGACAGGCAGATGTAAGGAATACAAAAGGGGAAGAACACTGGAAAATCAGGCAAAAGTGATGGGGACATTGTGTCAAGGAAATGGTTCTTGGATCAAGTGGTGGGACACTGAGGAAAATACAATTGTGGCAGGCAGATGTAAGGAATGAAAATGGAAAACACTGTGACAAAAGCAGTAGGGACCACAAGAAAAAGGTGCTTGGATCAAGTGGTGGGACACTGAGGAAAGTACAATTGTGACAGGCAGATGTAAGGAATGAAAAGGGAAAGAATTGTGTCAAAAAAGTGATGGGGACTACAAGGAAATGGTTCTTGGATCAAGTGGTGGGACACTGAGGAAAATGCAAGATGTGGCAGGCAGATGTAAGGAATTAAAATGGGAAAGCATTGTGACATAAGTTGTTGGGGGACTACAAGAAAAAGGAGCTTGGATCAAGTGGTGGGACACTGAGGAAAAATGCACTTGTGGCAGGCAGATGTAAGGAATGAAAAGGGAAGAAAAGAAATGTTGGGGACTACAAGAAAAGGTTCTTGGATCAAGGGTGGGACACTGAGAAAGTACAATTGTGGCAGGCAGATGTAAAAGGAATTAAAAGGAAAGGAAAAGGTTGAGTGGTGGGACACTGAGAAAATTGGATCAAGTGGTTGAGGCAGGCAGATGTAAGGAATGAAAAAGGAAAACATTGTGGCAAAAAGTGGTGGGGACTACAAGGAAAAGGTTCTTGGATCAAGTGGTGGGACACTGAGGAAAATACAATTGTGGCAGGCAGATGTAAAACATTGAAATGAAAAAGGGGAAGCATTGTGACAAATGATGGGACTACAAGGAAAAAGTTCTTGGATCAAGTGGTGGGACACTGAGGAAAATACTTGTGGCAGGCAGATGTAAGGAATGAAAAGGGAAAGCATTGTGACAAAAGTGGTGGGGACTACAAGGAAAGGGTTCTGGATCAAGTGGTGGGACACTGAGGAAAATACAATTGTGGCAGGCAGATGTAAGGAATGAAAAGGGGAAACATTGTGTCACAAAAAAAGTGGGGGACTACAAGGAAAAGGAATGGACTACAAGTGGTGGGACACTGAGGAAAATACAATTGTGGCAGGCAGATGTAAGGAATGAAAAGGGGAAACATTGTGGCAAAAAGTGGTGGGGACTACAAGGAAATGGTTCTTGGATCAAGTGGTGGGACACTGAGGAAAATACAATTGTGGCAGGCAGATGTAAGGAAAATGAAAAGGGAAACATTGTGTCAAAAGTGGTGGGGACTACAAGGAAAAGGTGCTTGGATCAAGTGGTGGGACACTGAGGAAAATACAATTGTGGCAGGCAGATGTAAGGAATGAAAAAGGGAAAACATTGTGTCAAAAGTGATGGGGACTACAAGGAAAAGGTTCTTGGATCAAGTGGTGGGACACTGAGGAAAATGCACAATTGTGGCAGGCAGATGTAAGGAATTAAAAGGAAAACATTGTGACAAAAGTGGTGGGGACTACAAGGAAAAAGGTTCTTGGATCAAGTGGTGGGACACTGAGGAAAAATACAATTGTGGCAGGCAGATGTAAGGAAAAGAAAAATTGTGGCAAAAGGAAAAATTGTGGGACAGGAAAATGGCAGGCAGATGGGACTTGTGGCAAAAGTGGTGGGGAAAAAAAAGGTTCTTGGATCAAGTGGTGGGACACTGAGGAAAATACACTTGTGGCAGGCAGATGTAAGGAATGAAAAGGGGAAACATTGTGTCAAAAGAGACTGGATGGGGGACTACAAGGAAAAAGGTTCTTGGATCAAGTGGTGGGACACTGAGGAAAATACAATTGTGGCAGGCAGATGTAAGGAATGAAAAGGGGAAAGATTGTGTCAAAAGTGATGGGGACTACAAGGAAAAGGTTCTTGGATCAAGTGGTGGGACACTGAGGAAAATGCAATTGTGGCAGGCAGATGTAAGGAATGAAAAAAGGAAACATTGTGGCAAAAGTGATGGGGACTACAAGGAAAAGGTTCTTGGATCAAGTGGTGGGACACTGAGGAAAAATGCACTTGTGACAGGCAGATGTAAGGAATGAAAAGGGAAAGACATTGTGTCAAAAGTGGTAGGGACTACAAGGAAAAGGTTCTTGGATCAAGTGGTGGGACACTGAGGAAAATACAATTGTGACAGGCAGATGTAAGGAATTAAAAGGGAAAACATTGTGTCAAAAGTGGTAGGGACTACAAGGAAAAAAGTTCTTGGATCAAGTGGTGGGACACTGAGGAAAGTGCACTTGTGGCAGGCAGATGTAAGGAATGAAAAAGGAAAAACATTGTGTCAAAAGTGGTGGGGACTACAAGGAAAAGGTTCTTGGATCAAGTGGTGGGACACTGAGGAAAATGCACTTGTGGCAGGCAGATGTAAGGAATGAAAAGGGAAGAATTGTGTCAAAAAGTGATGGGGACTACAAGGAAATGGTTCTTGGATCAAGTGGTGGGACACTGAGGAAAATACACTTGTGGCAGGCAGATGTAAGGAAATGAAAAGGGGAAGAATTGTGTCAAAAGTGGTGGGGACTACAAGGAAAAAAGGTTCTGGATCAAAATGGTGGGACACTGAGGAAAGTACACTTGTGGCAGGCAGATGTAAGAATGAAAAGGGAAGAATTGTGTCAAAAGTGTGGGGACTACAAGGAAAAGGTTCTTGGATCAAGTGGTGGGACACTGAGGAAAATGCACTTTGTGGCAGGCAGATGTAAGGAATTAAAAGGGAAGCACTTGTGACAAAAGTGTTGACTACAAGGAAAAGGTTCTTGGATCAAGTGGTGGGACACTGAGGAAAGTACACTTGTGACAGGCAGATGTAAGGAATGAAAAGGGAAAGAATTGTGTCAAATATAATGGGGACTACAAGGAAAAGGTTCTTGGATCAAGTGGTGGGACACTGAGGAAAAATACACTTGGCAGGACAGGCAGATGCAAGAAATGAAAAGGGAAAGAATTGTGTCAAAAGTGATGGGGACTACAAGGAAAAGGTTCTTGGATCAAGTGGTGGGACACTGAGGAAAATACACTTGTGGCAGGCAGATGTAAGGAATGAAAAGGAAAAGAATTGTGTCAAAAGTAATGGGGACTACAAGGAAATGGTTCTTGGATCAAGTGGTGGGACACTGAGGAAAATACAATTGTGGCAGGCAGATGTAAGGAATGAAAAGGGGAAACATTGTGACAAAAGTGGTAGGGACTACAAGAAAAGGAGCTTGGATCAAGTGGTGGGACACTGAGGAAAATGCTCTTGTGGCAGGCAGATGTAAGGAATTAAAAAGGAAAGAATTGTGTCAAAAGTGGGGGGACTACAAGGAAAAGGTTCTTGGATCAAGTGGTGGGACACTGAGGAAAATGCACTTGTGGCAGGCAGATGTAAGGAATTAAAAGGGAAGCATTGTGACAAAAGCAGTAGGGACCACAAGAAAAAGGTACTTGGATCAAGTGGTGGGACACTGAGGAAAGTACACTTTGTGGCAGGCAGATGTAAGGAATTAAAAGGGAAAGAATTGTGTCAAATATGATGGGGACTACAAGGAAAAGGTTCTTGGATCAAGTGGTGGGACACTGAGGAAAATGCAATTGTGGCAGGCAGATGTAAGGAATTAAAATGGGAAGCATTGTGACAAAAGTGGTAGGGACCACAAGAAAAGGAGCTTGGATCAAGTGGTGGGACACTGAGGAAAGTACACTTGTGGCAGGCAGATGTAAGGAATGAAAAGGGAAAAATTGTGGCAAAAGTGATGGGGACTACAAGGAAATGGTTCTTGGATCAAGTGGTGGGACACTGAGGAAAATGCAATTGTGGCAGGCAGATGTAAGGAAATGAAAATGGGAAGCATTGTGACAAAAGTGGTGGGGACCACAAGAAAAGGAGCTTGGATCAAGTGGTGGGACACTGAGGAAAGTACACTTGTGGCAGGCAGATGTAAGGAATGAAAAGGGAAAGAATTGTGTCAAAGTGTAATGGGGACTACAAGGAAATGGTTCTTGGATCAAGTGGTGGGACACTGAGGAAAATGCACTTGTGGCAGGCAGATGTAAGGAATGAAAAGGGAAAAGCATTGTGTCAAAAGTGATGGGGACTACAAGGAAAAGGTTCTTGGATCAAGTGGTGGGACACTGAGGAAAATGCACTTGTGGCAGGCAGATGTAAGGAATTAAAAGGGGAAGCATTGTGACAAAAGTGGTAGGGACCACAAGAAAAAGGAGCTTGGATCAAGTGGTGGGACACTGAGGAAAGTGCACTTGTGACAGGCAGATGTAAGGAATAAAAAGGGAAAGAATTGTGTCAAAAGTAATGGGGACTACAAGGAAAAAGGTTCTTGGATCAAGTGGTGGGACACTGAGGAAAAATGCACTTGTGGCAGGCAGATGTAAGGAATTAAAAGGGAAAAGAATTGTGTCAAAATATGATGGGGACTACAAGGAAAAGGTTCTTGGATCAAATGGTGGGACACTGAGGAAAATGCACTTGTGGCAGGCAGATGTAAGGAATGAAAAAGGGGAAGAATTGTGTCAAAAGTGGATGGGGGACTACAAGGAAAAAAGGTTCTTGGATCAAGTGGTGGGACACTGAGGAAAATGCACTTGTGGCAGGCAGATGTAAGGAATGAAAAAGGGAAGCATTGTGTCAAAAGTGGTAGGGACTACAAGGAAAAAGGTACTTGGATCAAGTGGTGGGACACTGAGGAAAATGCACTTGTGGCAGGCAGATGTAAGGAATGAAAAAGGGAAAGAATTGTGTCAAAATATGATGGGGACTACAAGGAAAAGGTTCTTGGATCAAGTGGTGGGACACTGAGGAAAATACACTTGTGGCAGGCAGATGTAAGGAATGAAAAGGGGAAAGAATTGTGACAAAAGTGATGGGGGACTACAAGGAAAAGGTTCTTTGGATCAAGTGGTGGGACACTGAGGAAAATGCAATTGTGGCAGGCAGATGTAAGGAATGAAAAGGGAAAGAATTGTGGGACTCAAAAGTAATGGAGACTACAAGGAAAAAAAGGTTCTTGGATCAAGTGGTGGGACACTGAGGAAAATACACTGTGGCAGGCAGATGTAAGGAATGAAAAGGGAAAGAATTGTGTCAAAAGTGATGGGGACTACAAGGAAAAGGTTCTTGGATCAAGTGGTGGGACACTGAGGAAAATGCACTTGTGGCAGGCAGATGTAAGGAATTAAAAGGGAAAGAATTGTGTCAAAAGTGGTGGGGACTACAAGGAAAAGGTTCTTGGATCAAGTGGTGGGACACTGAGGAAAATGCAATTGTGGCAGGCAGATGTAAGGAATGAAAAGGAAAAAATTGTGTCAAAAGTGGTGGGGACTACAAGGAAAAGGTTCTTGGATCAAGTGGTGGGACACTGAGGAAAATACACTTGTGGCAGGCAGATGTAAGGAATTAAAAAAAGGGAAAAAACATTGTGACAAAAGTGATGGGGACTACAAGAAAAAGGTTCTTGATCAAGTGGTGGGACACTGAGGAAAGTACAATTGTGGCAGGCAGATGTAAGGAAATTAAAAGGGAAAGTATTGTGGCAAAAGTGATAGGGACTACAAGGAAATGGTTCTTGGATCAAGTGGTGGGACACTGAGGAAAGTGCACAGATTGTGAAAAAGGAAAACAGGCAGATGCAAGAAATTAAAAGGGAAAAAGAATTGTGGAAACATTGTGATGGGGGGACTACAAGGAAATGGTTCTTGGATCAAGTGGTGGGACACTGAGGAAAATACAATTGTGGCAGGCAGATGTAAGGAATGAAAAAGGGAAAACATTGTGGCAAAAGTGGTGGGGACTACAAGGAAAAGGTTCTTGGATCAAGTGGTGGGACACTGAGGAAAATGCACTTGTGGCAGGCAGATGTAATGGAATTAAAAGGGGAAAGAATTGTGTCAAAAGTGATGGGGACTACAAGGAAAAGGTTCTTGGATCAAGTGGTGGGACACTGAGGAAAGTACACTTGTGACAGGCAGATGTAAGGAATTAAAAAGGGAAGAATTGTGTCAAATATGATGGGGACTACAAGGAAAAGGTTCTTGGATCAAATGGTGGGACACTGAGGAAAATACACTTGTGGCAGGCAGATGTAAGGAATGAAAATGGGAAGAATTGTGACAAAAGTGGTAGGACCACAAGGAAAAGGTGTGGATCAAGTGGTGGGACACTGAGGAAAGTACAATTGTGGCAGGCAGATGTAAGGAATAAAAAGGAAAAATTGTGTCAAAAGTGGTGGGGACTACAAGGAAATGGTTCTTGGATCAAGTGGTGGGACACTGAGGAAAATACAATTGTGACAGGCAGATGTAAGGAATGAAAAGGGAAAGAATTGTGTCAAAAGTGATGGGGGACTACAAGGAAATGGTTCTTGGATCAAGTGGTGGGACACTGAGGAAAATACAATTGTGGCAGGCAGATGTAAGGAAATGAAAAGGGAAAACATTGTGTCAAAAGTAATAGGGACTACAAGGAAAAGGTTCTTGGATCAAGTGGTGGGACACTGAGGAAAATGCTCTTGTGGCAGGCAGATGTAATGAATGAAAAGGAAAACATTGTGTCAAAAGATGGGGGACTACAAGGAAATGGTTCTTGGATCAAATGGTGGGACACTGAGGAAAGTACACCAGACAGGCAGATGTAAGGAATTAAAAGGGAAAGAATTGTGGCAAATATGATGGGGACTACAAGGAAAAGGTTCTTGGATCAAGTGGTGGGACACTGAGGAAAATTCACTTGTGGCAGGCAGATGTAAGGAATTAAAAGGGAAGCATTGTGGCAAAAGTGGTGGGGACCACAAGGAAAAAAGGTGTTGGGTCAAGTGGTGGGACACTGAGGAAAGTACACTTGTGGCAGGCAGATGTAAGGAATAAAAAGGGAAAAATTGTGTCAAATATAATGGGGACTACAAGGAAATGGTTCTTGGATCAAGTGGTGGGACACTGAGGAAAATACAATTGTGGCAGGCAGATGTAAGGAATGAAAAGGGAAAACATTGTGTCAAATATGATGGGGACTACAAGGAAATGGTTCTTGGATCAAGTGGTGGGACACTGAGGAAAGTGCACTTGTGGCAGGCAGATGTAAGGAATTAAAAGGAAAGAATTGTGTCAAAATGATGGGGACTACAAGGAAATGGTTCTTGGATCAAGTGGTGGGACACTGAGGAAAGTGTGCTTGTGACAGGCAGATTTAAGGAATTAAAAGGGAAAGCAATTGTGTCAAAAAAGCGATGGGGACTACAAGGAAATGGTTCTTGGATCAAGTGGTGGGACACTGAGGAAAGTGCACTTGTGACAGGCAGATGTAAGGAATTAAAAGGGAAAGAATTGTGTCATATATGATGGGGACTACAAGGAAATGGTTCTTGGATCAAGTGGTGGGACACTGAGGAAAGTACACTTGTGGCTGGCAGATGTAAGAATTAAAAGGAAAGAATTGTGTCAAAAGTGGGGGGGACTACATAGAAAAGGTTCTTGGATCAAGTGGTGGGACACTGAGGAAAAATTACTTGGTGTAATGTGTGACTATGAAGTAAAGAAGCTTGGTCCAAGCAGAGGTGATATCAATGCAAATGATCATGGTATTAAAGGTTCCACCAAGCAGGAAATGTGTAAATTTTTTTTCATTTTTTTTTGTTTTTTTAAAATCTTAAAAATTCCAATACCTTCAAGTCTCGATGAATGATTCCTGCATCATGGATGGAAATTATACCATTTAAAATTCCCCAGATTATCGTGCTTTTCTTTATCAAATAAACTGGAATAAGAAAAATATTTGACAATTAATATTATTTCAAAAAATAATAAAATGAAAGGCAACCAAATCTGGTCTGTGAAAGATGAAAATTAAAAAAAAAATAAATAAATGCACTTACGATTTTGAGGAATTTGTTGAATCTGTTTTCTGTAACCAGTCTTTTAAGGTCTCTTTGCATAATTCCATTTGAATAAATAAGGTGAACTGGTTTTGCTTCTGTTTCAAATAAATATGAAAATTCTGTCAGTTTTGAGGACCATAAGAATTAATAAACCTTTGGATAGTGAAAAATACTTGCCAAAAACTAAGCAATGTATTAAGAAACAGGAAAGGTTAATTAGAAACAAAGAAAAGAGTACTGGACAGTTATGTGATATGAGTCCTCCTGTATGGTAAAGAATACTCAACAATTTCCTCACAGATAAAGAAGAGACTTGAGGCAATAGAAATGTGGTTTTTACAGCAGGATACTGGAAAGTCCGGGACCAAATATATGAGCAACTACAAAGTTTTAGAGAAAATGGAAACTTATACTTTACATCTGATAGTGTTATTTGAAATTTATGGAACGAATAATGAGGAAAGTTTGACACCCATAGGACAGATTGAAGGCAAGAGGGACAGAGGAAAACAATGCATAACTTACCTTAGTGAGCTAGAGTAATGGCGGAACAATATTTAGGAGAGATAACAAAAAGACAAAATATTTTAATAGCTACAAAGGACGGGAAGTTGTGGAGAACCACGAATGCTAATGTTCTGATGATACACTGCATATAGAAAAAGCAGAAAGTGCTTGAGGAAACTGATGACTGAGCAAAGTTTAGGGGAAATAACAAAAAGACGAAACATACAAACACACACTTCTTTCCAATCAACCTTCATTAAAAGGATTTATTTGTCAATAATTGCTTAGGAATAATTTTATTCTGGCCAAGTTAGGAAATGTTCTAATTTCTCATTCTACTTTCTGCTAATTTTAAAATTAATTCTCTAAATTATTTTCTTGTTAAAAACTCTTGTCCATTCCAATGCACTGACACCTCACACATCCTTAAATGTTTGGGACTAGATTTAGGAACTACTGAATGTAGTGTAACCTTTAGTACTCTCCATTATTAATATTGCTTCCCTTTTCTCTGCATTTCTTTTTAAAGGTTCTCAGTTACACTATCCTTATTGTTAATTTTGTCAAAGTTGTTTTCTGTTGCCATAGCAGGTTATGACAACACAACTATGAAATTCAAACATAGTCAAATCCCTGCCTTACTGACATTACTCTTAATAATATTTTAAAATTGCTCACATGTTTAGTTCATGGTATTCTCAGCATCCTTTAGTAGAACCACATTTCTGTTACATCAAGTCTCTTCTTCATCTGCAAGGAGATTGTCCAGTATTCACTGACATAAAGGAGGACAGATATCATGTAACAGTTCAGCACTGTTCTTTGTTTCTATTGAAGTTTTTATGTTTCTTCATACATTGCTTACCATTTGGAAGACTTTTTTCTGGGTAGGTTCCTAGCCAGTGATGAAAAGATTCTCTATAATGACATGCAATGAAAAAAAAACAATGGTTAGCACCCATTTTAAAAGGAGACCATACTAAAACCAGAACCAAACCTAAGAAACCTCAGTTCTGTGTTTGGTAGTGTAATGACTTTGAGGGAAAGAAATTTTTCTTTTTCCTTTTTCTTCATTCTCTTGTTATGAGCATTGCTGTATCCAGGATATAACAATACCAATATTTCAAGGACAGAACAGAATAGCTAAATGGAAAAAAAAATCTTGTTCAGTTCACAGAGAGGTTTATAATGCTATGTTGTATACAAAATTAGGTATATACTTATATGTATGTGTCCCATGCAAAGAAATTATAACATGCACATCAACAAATGGTGTGTAAGAAAGGTGAACTTTATTTGTTATATTTCCCAAAGAGAAATATAACAATATTTAATATTTTTGAGTTTAGCAAATATTTTTCCAGACAAGTCCTACTATTTAACCTATAGCGATGTGAAGAGAAGTTGGATTCATGCCTTTCCCAAGGGTATTTACACATAAATGAATCTAACGATTGTAAATGGGATTAGAACTCAGGTCTCTGATTTCTCATTCCAAGTGCTGCTATTCACTATAAACCAGCTGCACATCCACCTTTACAATACAAATTGTAAAGAGATTATGAGGCAAGTGAAATAAACCAACAAGAACCTCTTAAAGGACAATTCTCATTCAGTAAATCAGATACTGGGATGCACAGTGGTGTAATGGATAATGGCTTAGAATAAGAAATAGGAGAATCACATTTGAATTCCAGGCGAGTTCCTTAACTTCACTTATATGGAAATATAACCCTGGGGAAAATATGACTCCACCTCTGCTAATCCCAAATCAAAGTTGAATAGCAGAGCAAACTGTGTCCAGGATCACCCAAACATATCATTATACATGGTACTTAATTTTTGGCTTTTGAGAGCTGGTGTTGTATACATGAAGGGATTGGAAGAAGGTTCTCTGTGATGAGCTCCTTCCAGTGAACCAAAGTGAACAATTTAAACAAGTGTTGTTCCCAACTAAATAATAGTAACTGATGAAAAGCATTTGCAATTAATTCAGGGAAAAATATTAAGGGAGATGATAGTAGGAAGTTGTTTGAAAGATGACAATGCAAAAAAAACATGGAAAGAAGGAACTATAAAGTTTCTTGAAAGATGAAAATGGGAAAACTGTTGTGGTAAGATTGGACTATGAAAAAATTTGTTTGAATGACAACAGTGAGAAAACTTGTAGAAAGAAGGATCTAGGGAAGAAGTTACTGGAATGACAACTGTAAAACAAAAATGCTTTGTTTTTAATAACAACGTCAAGAAAAAATAAGTCATTTAATATATAAAACTCACATTTCTCAATTCATTTGATGTATCTTCAGTTAAATTTTGTTCTTCTGATGTGGCACCATCTGATAATTCAGAGTCTACAGGATAATTCCTGCAAGTAGAAGAAGGAATAAGAAGGAGCTTAAAAATAACTGTAGACATGTTTTTGGTAGACGTAAAAGTAGATTTGCAAATTTATAAGTGAATCTTTAGCCTACTAAAGGCATATAATTCATTTATTAAGTTCAAATTCTGACTGTGGATAAGTCATTTGTGTAGGAGTGTTTTCTTTTGCATGTTTCAGATATATTCATATAGTCCCGACTACATATTTAGAGATTCTTTATAAAATCCAAACAAGGATATACAATGGTTTTTGATTTTGATCTAGCATCTTGGTTTCAGTCACTTTCCCACCACTATAATCTAGCTTACTTGTGCCTTATCTGTCTATATTTCTAAGATGAGGTATTGTAATTATTTACATTGTTTCATCCATTGTACCTAAGGGACACATGGCCTAGTGAATAAAGTGTTGGTTAGATCCAGTGACCTGACCTAAAGAATTGTGAGTGCAATATCTAACTACGGTAGAGATGAACAAAACTTTGAGAGTTGAGTTAAAGGGAGATAACTGAGACATCCAGAAGAGACATGGCATGTGGAACTAGATCAATCTACTTTGACAAGTAGACAAAGGGTTAGGGTTAGGGTTCAGTTTGAAATTCTTGTCAACTGAAAAAGGCAAGAGCATGCAATAATCGAAATGTCATGAATATAGAAATAAAGATGAGGACAACAGTGCGAATAATGTAAAAACCTTAGAATATGGAAAGAGTATGGGATACCAAATGTAATATCAATAAATGACACTTATTTGATATAGGGGGTTAGTTTAAGTATTCATGATTCATGAATTTGTAACTTCAAATGTTCACCATGGCAGACAGACAGAATCTCTTTAAAATGTCCAAATAAATGTCAGTCATTTTTTTCCACATTACATTACAAATTACATCCAAGATGAAATTGGGATGATTTCTTCAGGCGTAATATTTTCTTTTGTCTCTGAACATCCTGTAGTCAAATAAATAATATAGTCCTCAGGAATATCTTTTTATTCACTACATATCAAGTAGTCAAATAAATCCAGGATTTTCAGGGATAATATTTTCTTATTTCATTAAACAAGAAAATATAATTTTTTTTTTCATCTAGCCAAATTCATTTTGAATTTTTTTTTTTCATCACTTTTGATTCTAAATGAATTTAGCTAGATATAAAAAAAAAATTAATAAAAAAATATCCCCCCCCCCATCCGTGGGCATGTGTAGTAGTATCAACATAACAAAAATTAGACCAAATAAAGTTTTAAAGGTAAATTTTTCTTAAATTGTCATACAATTTCTCCAATATTGTTCTTCATATATAAAAATATATACTGTTATCTCTATTTCACTTATATATATATATATATATATATATGAAGAAATATAGTATAGGTGTGCTATATTTATGGGATAAAGTGTTCAATATCAGAGATAGAGCGTGTAAATATAAAAGTGAACATTGAAGTCAACACTTAGAGGCAACAGTCTGTTTCATGCTAGATGTAATTGTCAGGCCAATATTTAACAGTCTCCTCATGAGGAATGTATGTGGCACAAGGCCGAGTTTAACGTGGGTTTCTCCCAGCCCATAGACTCGGCCAAAAATATTCCCTTTAGAACCCACATAAACAGGTTCAGGATCTGTTTACCTCCCCAGATGAAACTTTGCCCTTTGGCAAAGCTTTGTCTGAGTTCCTCTCTGCCAAAGCAGAGAGTTCGACAGAAGTTGCACATAGTCAAAGACTGCATGTTGACTGCCAATCGTCAGGCCATGAGTGCTGTTATTTTTCTCGACTATTTATATATACAGTGGTGCATTGTGGGTAGTCTATTTTGGCGGTTATTTTACCGAAAGTTGTTTATTTATTTATTTGGGTTAAATTATTTTGCTTGTCTTTATTTTTTTTTAATTTTTTTTTTAATTTTTATTTCTTATCTTATATATATTTATATATTTATTTTTTTTTTTATTTATTTTAATCGGTGTTTTTATTAAAGTAGTAAAAATTTGTTTATATTGCTTATTTAATAGTTTTGTTTTTAGTTTGGGAAGATAATTAAAACTATTTATTCAATTTTGGGGTTGATTGTTGCAGTTTATTCTAACTATTATTTTGGCGGGAACAGTTTTTAATTTGTTTATTACTTCATTCATTTATTTGGATTGATTATCTTTGTTTTTTCTAACAGTTTATCGGGATCAGTTTGTTTATTTATTTATTTGGATAAATTTAGGTCACTTTATTTTACTTGTTATTATTTATTTGTTATACTGTATATTTTCTCTTTTCAGTTTTTGATTTTTAAGTAACGTAGTATTTTTTTTTAATTGTTATGAAACTGTTATAGCTATTTTTTTGGTCTGACTTTTGGTTTGATTTTTATAGTCTAACTAATATTTTGGTCATAATGATTTGTTAATTTCTTTATTATTTACTTAATTTATTTGGGTTCATTGATTTTTGTTTTCTTATTTTTTATTCTATGTCGTCAATTCTAACAGGTGTGATTTGGTAATATGTTTGGGTTAATTTATTTTGCTTATTTTATTGTCATTTTGTTTATTTATTTATTTATTTTATTCTATTTTATTTTTTCCGTTTTCAATTTTTAAGTAACGTAGTAAAAATTTGTTTTCATGTCTGCATTTTGAGATGAACTTGGATCTTTCATTTAATAATTTATTTTGTTCTGGGAAGGTAATGATAGCTATTTTTTCCTTCAAGCAAAGTTTGCAAGTTTTTGATTGGTTGTTGTAGGATTTCCTTATTTTCCAAGATATTTTTGGTTTGATGTGCGTTTTGTTTTTAATTTTCCAGATATACTTAGAAAGCATTGTGCTTGTTCACCTATTTACTATTTGTGAATGATGTTTTGTTGAACCATATATTTCTTTTCCTATTGGCCTTTTTTGTGTTCTGTGGTGAGTATGTGAATATTGCTGGGCTGTTTCGTAGTCTTTCTTAGCTTTGTTAAATATGGATTCATTGGTGGAATTGTTGGAAAGTCTGCGGTTAATCGATTTTGGTATCTGTTTGATTATAGAAGGCAGATGATTGGAAGATGTGTGTATATAGAGTGGTTTATCATTGGGTTTTCTGTATGGATTATATGTGCCTTTTCTTAGGTTGAAGGTAACATCTAGAACATCTACTTCATTTAGGTTAGTTTTTATATCTATGTCGAATTCATTATTTTTAAAAATCTTTATTATTGCTTTTCTAGTTTTGTCTGTGTTTTGTTTGTTACAGTTTCTTAAGATTATGAGACCGTCATCCCTGTAGAGTCCTGTGTCATTTCTATCTATTATTTTGCTTAGTTCATGTAGTAATAAATACCTATGATTTTGCATGTCAAAGCTTCCCACTGTGGTGTCAAATATCCCATCTTTCTTTATCTATACTTCTTCATTGAAATAGTAATGATTTTAATGATGAGTGCTTAATGATGTCGATATTTGTTCCTGAGCTAAGTTGATGGCCTTATCTAACATGCGTTCTGTTATGGATGGGTAAAATTCTTTTATGTCTAATTGCAGGAATTGGCAATTTTGTTTGTTATTTATGCTGTGGAACCAGTCAATAGTTGCTTTTGTGTTTTTCCACTGGTTTACTCCTAACTTCTTAATATATATGTGTATGTGTGTGTTGGCCATTGGCTCCTATAACAAGCTCATCCAACCTTTCATAGGTCCGTTTTTTTCTCCTAGGTGACAACCCACATTTCTCACCACCAGAATAGTTAGTTGGTGGTGTGTTGGGGGGAGGATATGAAGTCAACCATCTGTACATGTGGCAGATTGTACTGGGTTATGTGTTTTACCAGTACATCTAGAACTAAAATTATGCCCACCTCTCTAGTACTGGGATTAAACTCTGCCAAAGACCATAACATGACAGTAATATGTGTCTAACCAACTCCTATGTCTACTGGAAGACTCTTCTGAGGCCCACCAGTTGTGTATTTTGGGAGCCTTTATATTCACTGTCAGATGGTTTCAGCATTTGGTTATCATGGCAAGTTCTTACTGCATTTTTAAAAATTTTCTTTTAATCATTTCACCCCAAGCCACTACAATGCTATGGATTACTGAATGTTAGAAAATATGAAAAAAAAAGAAAACATTATTAAGGAGAGAGAACAATAAAAGAACAAGAATTAAGAAGACAAAAGATAACGATTGATATTGCATTTACATTTTTGAAGATCAAAGTTGACTGTAAAGCAAGAAGCTGGTACAGAGTTCCACAGGTGAGAAGTGTGATGGAAGAAACCACGTAGAATTTACAGTTACATCTAGCCATTTCAACTGTAAAATGATGAGACCTAGCTTCCAATATAATACTGTGGTTAAATTCAGAAAGTCTACCTGACTCATCAAAGAGATGCCTATGTAGATTTGAAGTGTCTCATCAGAACAATTATCAGGAAAATGTTTAACAACCAATGTGTGTAGTTCTAAAGAAGAAAAGAATCAAACAACCAAAGTTCTAAAGAAGTTCTTTCCTGCTCTATAAGGTGGGTTATCTGGCACCAGTTACCAACCTGGTATTTATAGACTCACCTTATTGTTTGTGCTGCAAACATGAGAATAATTGCTGACCAAAGCTGATAGGACTATTCCACCTGACTGGAACAAGTAGTACTGGTTTACGGTTTACCAGTAACAGGATTAGAGTAATTTCTGAACCAACCTGACCTGACTTACTTACGTTTCAGTTACAGCAAAGCTGGAAGGTGAAATATTTTCTGCTGAAAAAAAAAAATATTTTGCAATGATAATAATAATAATAATATAATTGTGCTTGTTCTTCACTTCCTTAGCACAACCATTACGTCCTGCCAAAAACTCATAAATAATGGACTAATCCATTTTGATTGCTTGAAAAAAGAGAGAAAACATGACTGTTATGTCCTACCAATAACTCATAAATAATGGACAATTTCATTTTAATTGCATGGAAAGACGGAAAAATATTACGTGGTTTCAGTGAGAAAATGAAAGAAAGAAATGAAGGCAGACATGACATATTTAACGTCTCATGTCAATACCTCATAAATAATGGACTATTCAATTTTGATTGTATAGAAAAACGAGGCACATCAGTTTCAGTAAGAAAATGAATAAAGAAAGCTTGAAATGCTTAAAATCTGTTTCTGTGAAATGAAAGATTCTGTCTATATTTCTGATATGATGTATTGTAATTATTTACATTTTTCAGATTGTTGTCCTCATCTTTGTTGCCATATTTACAACATTTCAGACATTGTACACTCTGGCTTTCATCAGGGATTAGAATTTTGAATGGATCCCTTTATTTTATCCACAGGTGTAGACTGGTCTAGTTCTATGTGCCATAACTCTTCTGAGCTAAGCCAACTTACAACTCTTCTATTTTCCATTTTTTCTTTCATTTTGTCACTGAAATCAAGTAATATCTTTTCCCCACTTTCAATGTGAACAAAACGCAGAATAGTCCATTATTTATGAGGTATTGGCAGGGCATAATGGCCGTGCTAACTAACAAGAGAGGGACAATAGGATAATAATGGAAATAACATGATAAATGAAAGAAGAGGTTAAATTATGAAAGTAAAACTTTACCAGAAGTGCAAGTTTCAATCCATGCTGTGCAATATCTAACAACAAATGACGTTTTTCAAATCAAAAAGAGCTTTGACTTCCCTGAAAATCTGAAAAAAAATTAAAAAAAACAATAACTAGCTTCCATTAAACTCTAAGTGAAATTTGTTTTATCAATTAATTTTTTATAGCTTATCAACCTTGAGTGAAGTGAAAGTAAAGACCACAAATAAAAAAAAATCTGGTCATCACATTATTCTCCTAAAATCATAAATCTTCATTTTCAGAAAAACTACAAAAGCTACAAGTATTAGAAATAAAATAGTTATTGCATCATATCCCTTCACGATGTAGGTGATCATTGCTCTCCAAAACTTCCTGTCTTTTATAGTTCTAGTATGTCATATCATTTTGCTTTCTCACTTAGTCCCAGTTCTACTAACCAGCTACACAAGGTTGTTACTGCAAACATGGCCCTTCACACCCACAATAAGATATAGGGTCAATAGGAAGTTCTTCCCAATAACACCACTTTTATTTTAATTACCTTCACTCTTTGGCAAACTTTATTGGTTTAAAAAGCAATGCATAGAATTGCAATAAAACCTATACAATCTAATAAATAAATAGTGTTTATTAAGTTAGTTGTCAATTCCCAAGGACAAATATAATATATTAATTCACTTTAGGTTTTATTCCAATTCTAATCATTGCTTTTTAAAACAATAAAGATTGTTGAAGAGTGAAGGTAATAAAAAAAGGGGGTCATTGCAAAAAAAAAAAAAAGTCATTTTGACACACAGTCTTATTGTGAGCACAAAGATCGATGTTGGCCCTACTTAAGTGGGTTACTTGATGCTTTCCTCGGTCAATTGTGACTTCAGTATATTGTGTGAGGGACAAATTCTCCAAACACTCTTCCCTAATTATGTGGTTGTGAAATTTCAATTGTCTCTTTCTGATTCTAAATATTTAAAGACAAAGAAGCAGACACATTCCAGAAGTGAATGTAAGTTAGAAGGAAGAATAGGAAAGTGCATTAGACTCAAGGGGGAAAATTTCAAAGAGGAAAACTTGTAGCAAAGAATCACTCCAGTCATGATCATTTGCAAGAAAAGGAAGCAATGGTTTTCTGATATTTTATAAGAAACGCTTCAATGTCTTTCAAAACAGACACAAAATTCTGCATTCTCACTGGAAATAAAGTGTCATTTATGTTTGACAGCACTCCAGAGAAGGACTTCTATTATTCTGTTTTTTTTTTTTTTAAATCAAGTTCACTAATTTGATGACACCTAACCAACTATTAAGGAGTCGTTCACATGTTTGTACATTTTGTAGCCATCTATGGCAGAAAGACAAAATTAATGGGACATGGTTGCCAGACTGAACTTTTAATAGAGAGCAAAGATAAAGCCAGATAAGTTTCATTTTTTACGCCTACAACAAAAGCTCATTATTAGCCAGCAAACATTTAATAACATTCTTTTTATTTTTTCAATGACACATTTTCTATTCTATCCTACGACACATCAAAGGCACATCATCCTACCTATCTACATTTTCAAAAGTAGAAATTTTCAGAGTCAAATTTGATTCTCAAACTTGTTACTTCTGGCAACAATTTAGACAAACGTAGTTTACACATAGATATACATTGACATGGGTTGCATATAATAAAGTATCAAATTTTCAGCATAAAGTCACCCACCTGCTGACCAGAAATCAAAAGGACTTTTGACTTTTGAACTTGACATGTGAATAAATTTTCAATTGTTCAAATTTAAAAAAAAACAAAAAAAACACTGATAATTTTTTTTGATATTCTAAAATGTATTTTATTACAGTGAAATAATATTTCCTTTATACAAAAAGAGTATAATTAATTTCTTTCGATGGAGATGTTTACTTGTTTCAATACATTTTGTTTTTGCTTTTCCTATTTTCTTGTTTAATGGGGTTAACAGCTTGGATTATTCATTCCATGCATTAGTTCTCGTTTCTAGACAAGAAAATAAAAGTAATTACGAGGTTTTGAACATAAAGTCACCCACCTGTTATGACCAGAAATCGTGAAATACACATTTTCAGATTTTTCCTGCTCACATGCCCAACTAAATGAAGAAATTGTTTAATTAAGTCCAAAGAAAAAAAAAAAACAAAACACAAGACCAATTTTTTATGTATCCAAATATAATGTAACAAGTTACATTAAAACAGTTAAATAAAGTTTGTGTGTGCATATTCTGTATGTGCGTTCAATGTGTGTGTGTGTGTGTTGTGTTGCGTGTATGGAGATGTTTTCCCGTCTTTGGGAAACGCCTTTTATCTTTGTTTTTTCCATCTTTTCTGGTGTTGAATGAGGGAGATTTACCTCCAGGTGTGGCACAAAAGGCCTGAAGAAAAATATTCTTTCAGCTCTTTTTTCTCGTCACCTAGACAAGAAAAATAAAAGGGTTAACGAACTAAAAGGAGGAGTTAACTCCAACAAACGTTCTAATCAAGGAAACAAACCACCGTTCGCAATAATTGCTAAATATTACGGACAACGAATTTTTTTTCTGAATGAACAAGTTTAATTTGTAAAAATGCCAGACTTCTAGGATTTGGCATTTTGCTTTTCATGAATTGAGAAAAAGGATATGTGGGTGTACAATTTAGAAAATTCCGAGAGTTTTCAAGGAGCTTTTGGGCTATTGGTGTTTTTCCCAGGTTTTTCAATCCCTAGAAAAAGCCCTGTCAATTTTTCAGGATTTTTCCTGTAAAAATCCCATGAAATACTAACCTATACTGCATATATAATCCATTGGACATTTAGAATAAAATTTGTATTTTTATATGATTACTATTTTATAAAATACTGACATAAAGTAGGGCGGGGGCACCATATCATAGATTAGGGAGTGGCACGAGATCTTTGCACCAGCCATGAGACAAGGTACCAAACGAAAGGAGATTAATTCTCTTTGTAAACAAATTGAACAATTCATGACTTACTTTTGAGGCAGAGTCTGGAAAATCATGAAAGGAAATTTTCTTAATTGCATAATATTTGCCATCTTTTTTATTACAAGCCTAAAAGAAAAAAAATTTAAATTGAATTTTTGCATACATAAAAAAAAAAATCCATACTTACAAACATGACCTGTTATGACTACAGGTTGTACATCAATCTGGTCATAAGTCAGCCAATAATTAATTTTACAATATTTCTTTTGACATTATTTTTTTTTTTTATAATTCTTACATTATTTTTACATTTTTTCACAGTGATATTCACTTTGTACATGGTTCAGGAATGTGTAAAGAAAGTGCTTTAATCACTTGATCATCCACAGTAAATTTGCATCCAGATTTTATAACATTCCATCTTGTCACTATATGCACAGGCTATCATCTTGCTTGATACTGTGCAAACGACTTTTAGAAATTCGCATTTTAAATTTAGTCACACAGAAAAAAACACCATGAAAATTTCATATCTTTCAAGAGGATGGTTAAATGGCAAAAGGTTTCACATGAATTATTATTATTATTATTACAGACAATATTTCCAAAGTAAATTTGGTGATTTTATTAATTCTATAAAAATCTACACATACAGACAACAACAGGTAAACAGATTTGATAGGAGTAGATCGGTTCACCTATCATACAGTTAATTCTCCTTGATTCTTTTAAAAGGAGTAGAGGTTTATCCTTTGTTTCCTTTTTAGAAAGGATAAGAATCCTAACCCTAAAGTCTTTTCATTCTCTTTCACTCATACTAGCTCCTTGCATCTTAGTGACATTATCACCTTGCTTGGGGTGAATTGATTTAAAAAAAAAGGATCTATCATTACAACATGGGATAACTTGATAACAAAATTAATGTAATCTAAACATAAACAAAAGAAGATAACTAAACTCTATACCTAAACACATAAAATAAAGAAATTGTTAAAGTTTAAAATTTCATCATCCCTCTACTTCAGGTAAGATTTCAAAGAAACATAAAACATGACTTTAGTCTGACGAAGTCCTGAAGGATGAAACATAACACACGAAAGAGACAAAATTTTTTGTTTTATCATTAATTTTTTTAAAAGTGCAATGATAAAATTATGTATATTTGATGTACCATGATATATGGCCTGGTACTTGGTTATGTTATTTTTATCTGGAATCATATCATCCATCATGTTAAATTAATATTCGTGTGCATTCTTACATGAACAAATTTTTTGTGTGCATGCAACAAGATATAACATGTTTATAAAATGATTGATTTTGATTAAACATACAATTGCTTATATAACTCATTCATATTATTCACAACACACACGCACACATATATATGCTATTTCATGACTGCTATTGTTGCAAAGCAATCATCTATGTTAACATAACAAAATATCATTTTTGATAGTGAATATATTTGTTTCAATGTCTGTATAGCCACTATACATGAGCCAAAAGCTTAGATCAAGAACCAACAATTAAAAATATTCAAATGTTCACCTGAAATTAAAGCAAACATACAAAGTTTAGGACAGCTCATGACCAGTCATAATTGACATTTATTGTCTGTTATATTTAATAAAATATGTTTATATATATGTAGTGTTTGTTATGTTTTTTCCATGCTCACATTTTATTCACCTGCAGTTGGCTAATAAATCACTACTACCTTTATATAGGACAATTTAGCCATCGCAGTTGTTTCTTTGAATCCTTTTGTTTTGAGCTTCCTTGCCTGTTCTTTTAGTATGAGTGTAGTGATTGGTTAATTTTTTACCAATCACATATTTTTAATGCAAGATTAAGTTTTCCGTGGTGGCCTACCCTTTTTCCTTAAAAGGATTGACTTTTCACAAGTCATCAGTAAGATCCAGTTAGATTCCAGCCATCAACACAAATCCACGATCTTGCTCATCACATTTCAAACACAGACACAGAATTTCATAATATAAATTTACATTTCTCCAGTAAGTTTTGCCAAACTCAATCAAGCAGAACTCTGTTGATTCAAACCATTCTATAACACAACACATTTTTAATTAATTATATTCTTGTGTTATTTATTCTTAACATGCAAACTTTGCTCTAATATTGAATTCTAAACATTTTTCTCTCAAGAGAACTTTCTTGAAACATTTAATTGCAAATCAATCTAAAGTTAAAGGGGAACAACTTCTTTCCCTTAATCTATACATTGAAAACAATTTTATTGCATGTTTCTTCTTGTATGTTATTTCAATATATATTTGTTGATTAACAATTTGGAGTTATTGTTGTTTACTTGAATCCTGTACATTGGAAATATTGATTAATATAAATAGTATTGGTCTATCTACAACCTGGCCATTACAGATATATATTGTAGAATCTAGCTTCTACATTTAGTGTTCATAACCAATTAAAAGTGGATCACAGCAAAAATCTGTGCAACTAAAAAAAATAACCCATTAAAACCTGCTCTGCAGATAATTTTCCAAGAATGTTTTTTTGATTGGTCAATAAACATAAAATTCTTACTTATGTGTGTTTTCAATTATGTACACATGCATCACTCTGGCTTGGACTTATGAACTCATTTAGATATAAAGATTTTAAATGCACAACTCATTTTGAGCCTCATCTCTCTAGAGCAAACCATGATTCAATAAATAAAGTCAATAAATACGATACACCAACACATTTTCCCCAGTGAGTAGTGACCAACAATCATCTCACTAGAGCAAACCATGTCATTTTTATACACACTAAAAAATACTCTCTCAAACTTAACAAATTTCATTCGCAATATTTCTTAACACATAATCTTTCCCATTAAAATTGCATTACCATTTCAAACCAGCTCAGAAAGAACTTTACATTAAATTAAGTTCTAAAACACCAAAAATCATCAACACAATTTTCTATCTCCATTGTGTCTTATATAAAAGAAATATCTATTTGTTATTGCATTGAATTGTTGTTTTTCTTATTACTCTTATTGTTCATTTGGTTTTGCCATTGAAATGTGTGAAAAAATTACAGTGTTTTTTTTGGTGGCATTATCCCAATATAATATATATATATATATATATATATATATATATATATATATATATATTCATATATATATATATATATATGTATTTTGCATATGTGTGTCAATTGATTTTGTTGAAATAAAAAATAAATTTATGCAAAGAAAGAATTGGTTTTAGGCTTATCTGTATGAAGTGACATTATTTTTGTGACTTCATTTATGAAAACACATATTTCTAGTTTAACAGTTGGCAGTGAGAGAGAGAGAGAGAGAGAGAATATTATTTTTGTGCCAAAACTGTTTTTCTAGTGCATTATGGGAATTCTACTTCCCTTCCTTTGCTATAACCTAATAATGAAGGGGACACAACTCCTGCTTCTTATTTATGAATCACTACATACTCACTTTATAGACAGATCCAAAACCACCTTCACCAAGTAATCCAATTTCTTCATATTCTTTAGTATACCGCCTTGGTAAAAAAAAAAAAAAAAAGAAAAAAGAAAATAAGTATTAACATGGAAGAAAATCATAAAATCAAATAAAGAAACACTAATTTCTTTTTTAATCATTTAACCCCAAGCAAGGAAATAAAGTCACTAAAGCGCAGGGGGTTACTGAGTGATAGATAATATGAGAAAAACATACCTTATTAAGGAGAGCAATAAAAGAACAGGAATTGATAATTATTAACATTGAATTTTAATTTTTGAAGATCAAAGTTGACTGGGAAGCAGGAAGAAATTTCCACAAGCGAGAAGTAATAATCTATTTTCTTTATTCGATGAAGCCATAAAACAGTTGTTGGCACACAAATCTCTTTACATACATTATTGTTTTCTGATAGAAAGATTTTTGATCTCACCTCATATTCTGAATTGCATATAAAGCAAAGAAAATTCAGAGTAATCACAACCAAATAAAATCAAATTAACTTACCCTTCAGACCTTATATAAGTGAGAGATGTCTGCAAAGAAAGAAAAAAGTCATTATATATATATATATATAGTACAGGTAATTGATCTGTTGGTATATAATCTGGGTGTATCCTATCAATTATTAAAACTGATCCTCAGAGAGCTCAATGTTTTTATTTTAACAGAGCATATGTGTTTTTTACAGCAAAAAAACAAAAATTACCTCAACCTAGAGATTATTTCAAACCATTCTTTACATGGCTATCATCAGCCTCTAAGTGCTTGTTCCGGAGCATTGTTCTAAATTTATTTTGAAAGTCACTCCTCCTCTAGTAGACACCTTGTTAACGAGAGTGGGTTTGTGTTAGCGATTGGTGGGGGCGTAAGGTATCCTATACCAGAGGAAGCAGTCTGGGTTTGGAGTTTATTTATGGCTAGGATTTTTTGTTTGTAGTTTAATATCAGTTTCTACTATGTGGTGTTTCTTATAAAGGCCCTGGAGTGTGTTTTTCTGGAATTCACAGTAAATAGTTTTTGTACTACAGGTGTCCATTGTTATTAGTAAGCGATGGGGGATTTAACTTAAGTCCATTAAGATTAATGTAAATTAATTGAGTTATAGATTTATAGATTGTAGGTAATACCAGAGTACCCACTGGAATAACTCATGATGTACAACACACTTATATGCCTATATATCTTCATACATACATATATGTGTACTCTTACATGTCTATACATATATGCCACTATACGTACACATACACCCCCACATATATACACATGTATTCTTATGTAATTTGAAATTTATTTCTGTCTACATTTTGTAATTAGTTCTCTCCATTGATTTAATAGTTTGCATTGATCTTTATATTTTATTATCCTGATTTTTTCTTCTAAACATAGCTTACATCTACCCCTAAAACTATTGGGAGTATTTGCGAAACCTAGAATTTTTCAATTTATCTAAGGATTCAGATCCTTTTCCTTCAATTCCCAAAATTCTGTTTTCCTGAATCCTGTTCCTTTATTGTCCTTTTCCTCACTAAAGTCTTCATATTCTATTTCCTCACAGTAACTCACTATGTCTTAGTAACATTATTCCCTTGCTTGGAGTGAAATGAGTATAAATATAAGCAATTGTATGTAACTTATATATTATTGCTCTATACTTATATACATAAGTCAACCATGTAAGGATAAAAACTGATCATCTTTCTTTGGTGGGGAACAAATAACATGATGATCGCTTAGTGGTGTCACTATGGTGCCATTTCCATTTTGGAAATATATCTTTCCCATATATAGAAAGCAACTATTTCTAGTTAGCAATCCTTCATTTGGGAAAACCCAAGACTTACTGTTTCTTGTTTGTGGAATGTTATCACTTGGGATATAATAGATGAATCAGGCCTTCTTCAGTATGGAGTCCTAAACATAGCTTCTCCAGAAACACAGATGTAGTTTTCTCTGTATAAGTCACATGTTAATATGTATATATAGTTTTGTATATGTCTTAATGGTATAAAAGTATCTGAGAACAAAGCATGTTTGTCATTACTTTCAGCCATTCAGGTCTGTCCATGAAATACAGTGCTCTTATATCATGTACATAATAATGCCCAAAATGGGGGAAATTACAAGTTCTCCAATTATAAACATTTTACATCTGAACTGGGCAACAATCTCTCTTTTCTAAAATTTTTATTAAAGATGATTGACAGGGCACTACAATTAAGCTATTTGCTAAATATTTCTTGATTTCTTTTCTTTATGTAGACCATGTAAAACTGTAAATAATTTGTAGATCCAAAGGTTTTTAGCTAAACTTGACCATTGTTAAGGAAGTTTATCAGCCGATAGATAGATGGGAATGTTTTTAATCTACAAACACAGTTCCCATGTCCAGGAAAGAAAACACTTTTATGAACATATTATGACTAAATTACACAAAAATGACAATAACACTGACATCTCATTTTAACAAATATATTTACCAAAATTACACTAAATATCTTGAAGAGTATATTTATTCAATAAAATTGCCATTGGCTTCAACCATGGCCTCCATATGAGTTTGAAATCTCCTGTAACTCTTTTGGACGGTCTCCTTGTTTTAGTTGGTGAATGCTGCTATAATCCTTGCCTTTGGTTCATCTTTGGTGTTACAAGAATTTTGTTGGTCTCTCAATCAACTACACTCCACATAATAATCAAAGGGGTTGTAGTCTGGGGTGTTAAGTGGCCAGACGTAATGGGTGATGTGGTCGTAGACATTGTCTGACAGCCAAGACTGGTTTCTCCTGCTTGTATAGCAAGGTGAAGAGTCCTGTTGCCATAAGATCTTCCAGCAGCCACCCTCTTGACCCAGTGCAGCACTACCTCCTCATTGATGTAGGCTTCCATATTGAGTCTGAGTTCCTTACTAACAAGTTTTTTTCTTATCAGAATGATCAGTGTGAGTGTTTTGATCAGCTGTACCTTCATAATCACCATTAGACTCATCCAACTCTTTTCAAATCCTCTGCAGTGTTCTCAGATTGATAACCAAACACACTGAAATTTTCATATTGGATCTTCCAGCACCAAAGGCAAGGAGCAGAGCATGCTGTTTCCAAATTTCTGGCAGGGTGAATTGTGTTATAGTTCTCTTTTTCTTACAGACGGTGCCCAACTGACCCTACTGTACTGTGGAGTCAACAAAATCAAAAACAATCATTGTGAAATTATAAATAATGTAATGTTACTCTATTTTTATACAAATCTGTCAACCATTAAAATAAACAATATTATCAAGTCATTTCACAATGACAAGAGGAGAAGCTTTCTCCTATAATGTATTTCAATGTGTAACAACAAAAGGTAGAAACCTTGTCAGGATTGGGTTTGAATGAAGAATTTTGAAACATCTCAAAATTTGTTGAGTTTTTTTAAGTCTTGGAATATTCTTTTATTTTTTTATCATTTCAATCTATAAGTATTTGGTTGATTCGAGAATAGTTAAATACTGTCAGTACCTTGAGGTAAAAGCCATTTGCCTAGTATTTGGGTCTTATTGTGACACTATTTAACTATGGTATTTAATTAACTAAAAATTAATTTAAACAAGAAAATACTAAGAACAGAAAGATGCCATTAGATTTTATTTTTTAATTAAAAAACGTTACTTTTCTGAAGAGCCTGAGGACATGCATAAACAGTGGACGTACAAAAAGGCCATGTGGCAAACTTTTGAGAATTGATTAATGATGTTTGTAAAAATACTGATTAAAGAAAGCCCAAGAACTGCAAAGCATTCGAGATCACACAAGTTTTAGGAGTCGACCAAGTGACAGGGCCATGTGTTGTTTATATTTGGCATAGAAAGATGTTCCAAGAGATACACATTCAATATGGAAGGATTTTATTTTTACTTTTCTCAAGAACTCGAGGGTTTGCATCAATGATAAATTTGTAGAAGGGCAATGTGGCGAGTTTTTGACAATTGATTTATGATAATTGTAAAGAAAACATGAAATAGCCAAAAAGCATCTAAGATGTCATTTAAAATCGCAAGATTTTAGAAGTTGGCCAAACATGGGGCCATGTGTTGTTTGCAAGATGATAAAGGAAATTTCAAAAAATAAGTTGATAATTCTAAACTCAGAAATAAACAGGGATGTCAAAAGAATTAATTAATGAAGCGAGCTTAGCCATGCCCATACAGCCAAGATGCCATTCGTTGGGTAGTAGCAATGATGATAACTGGAGGGACATTGACAGAACCTGGGGAAATTACTAACTAGAAAGGATTTGGCCTTGGTCCCAATGTGAGAAAGAGGGAATTTAGGAGGATAGCTATCCTGCAACCTCTCCCCTTAGATGAAGGGATCCCCCCACAAAATGGAAAGTAATTATCTTTCCAAAATGGGAAGTAATCAATTTTCCTAGCCAGGTAACAATAGGGTTACTTGTCAGAAATCTGGGAATTACCAAAAACCCCAGGCTGCGTCTAACCCAACACTGGTTTTTGGTCGATGTCCATATAAATGAGTGCCCTCAGTTTGTGAGCAAGTTGCAATTGAAGTGGCAGTCAGTTTGAAGAGGAACCAGAGATTTGGGTTGCATGAACAACTATAAAATTCCACAATTCCTATCTTTGTCTTTGCCTTCCTATGAAACAGCAAGTTATACTGATGAATGAGGCTAAACCAGCACCTAAAAACTAAATTAATTGACTTAGACTATCAGAACTTGCCTAGAAGTATAAAAGTATTACTCTCTGCACGAGTGGGTCTGGAAAAACATATACTTGTGTATAGAAAAGACCGATAAATGTTGATTTGCTTTCTTTCAAAATAACTGAATCTTTTTGGTTTTTATTTATTTCTTTTTTTTACCCTTGTGTGACATCACCTCCAGTTTAGACTCATCTTACACTACGGCTCAATGTCTGATTGAACTTGTCTACCTAACATCAAATCACAACGTGGGTACGTTAGGCTTGACATTGAAGTAGTTGCTTCAGTAACCAGTCATTGGAAGTGAGCTGACAATGATGGAACTGGTGTCACTGGTTGCATCTGGTGTGAAGCTATTAGAATCGACTGACTATCCTATTTTCTACCCTGACCAAAGGATCCCACCATGTAGTGACAACTGCCAATTGACTGGGTCACATATTGGTGGTAGTAACTAAGAGTCAACCCCAAAATGTTGGTAGGAGAAGTATCACAGTTTCACGCCATGAATAGGAGTTGACCCCAGGCCGACAATATTGTTTCATATTATTATAGTAGATTAAATAGCATAATTACTTACTGGATCCTTGCAGTATAAGCTTTTCATGAAATCTAATACATCTTCTCTGCTGTCAAAGTTTGATTCCATAATCCAGTCTAGGCACAAATCAATGTCATAATATGTGGAAAATTAAAATAAAAATTTAAATTACAAAAATGAATAAATAAATAAAATAAAAAGGGATATAAAAATATTAAAAATCAACAATAAAAATATGGAAAAAAAATTAGAATTAAAATATAAAAATAACAATAACTGTTTTGCAAATTATCTCATTTTCAGCCAACTTTAATGTGCAAAAATTTAAATGCAATTTCAATCGCTATCTACTGTTCTCCTGATTACTCTTTTCTCTTTCTGCCCATTATTAATATTTCTGTTCCTAAGTCATCCATACCCTGTAACCCCTTCTGTTTTAGTGGCATTACTGCCTTACTTGGGATGATACCAACTAAAACATTAAATGCAATGTCAATCGCTATCTACTGTTCTCCTGATTACTCTTTTCTCTTTCTGCCCATTATTAATATTTCTGTTCCTAATTCATCCATACCCTGTAACCCCTTCTGTTTTAGTGGCATTACTGCCTTACTTGGGATGATACCAACTAAAACATTAAATGCAATGTCAATCACTATCTACTGTTCTCCTTATTACTCTTTTCTCTTTCTGTTCGTCATTAATATTTCTGTTCCTAATTCATCCATACCCTGTAACCCCTTCTGTTTTAGTGGCATTACTGCCTTACTTGGGATGATACCAACTAAAACATTAAATGCAATGTCAATCGCTATCTACTGTTCTCCTGATTACTCTTTTCTCTTTCTGCCCATTATTAATATTTCTGTTCCTAATTCATCCATACCCTGTAACCCCTTCTGTTTTAGAGGCATTACTGCCTTAATTGGGATGATACCAACTAAAACATTAAATGCAATGTCAATCACTATCTACTGTTCTCCTTATTACTCTTTTCTCTTTCTGCCCATCATTAATATTTCTGTTCCTAATTAATCCATACCCTGTAACCCCTTCTGTTTTAGTGGCATTACTGCCTTACTTGGGATGATACCAACTAAAACATTAAATGCAATGTCAATCGCTATCTACTGTTCTCCTTATTACTCTTTTCTCTTTCTGCCCATTATTAATATTTCTGTTCCTAATTCATCCATACCCTGTAACCCCTTCTGTTTTAGTGGCATTACTGCCTTACTTGGATGATACCAACTAAAACATTAAAATGCAATGTCAATCACTATCTACTGTTCTCCTGATTACTCTTTTCTCTTTCTGCTCATCATTAATGTTTCTGTTCCTAATTAATCCATACCTGTAACCCCTTTTTGTTTCAGTGGCATTACTGCCTTACTTGGGATGATACCAACTAAAACATTAAATGCAATGTCAATCACTATCTACTGTTCTCCTTATTACTCTTTTCTCTTTCTGCTCATCATTAATGTTTCTGTTCCTAATTAATCCATACCCTGTAACCCCTTCTGTTTCAGTGGCATTACTGCCTTACTTGGGATGATACCAACTAAAACATTAAATGCAATGTCAATCACTATCTACTGTTCTCCTTATTGCTCTTTTCTCTTTCTGCCCATTATTAATATTTCTGTTCCTAATTCATCCATACCCTGTAACCCCTTCTGTTTTAGTGGCATTACTGCCTTACTTGGGATGATACCAACTAAAACATTAAATGCAATGTCAATCGTTCTCCTTATTACATTTACTCTTTTCTCTTTCTGTCATTAATCCCTGATTAATCCATGCCCCAAACTTTTTTAGTGGCATTACTGCCTTTTTTGCCCATTAAATGCATTAATCATTTCTGTTCCTAATTAATCCATACCCTGTAACCCTTCTGTTTTCTGTTTTAGTGGCATTACTGCCTTACTTGGGATGATACCAACTAAAACATTAAATGCAATGTCAATCACTATCTACTGTTCTCCTTATTACTCTTTTCTCTTTCTGCTCATCATTAATGTTTCTGTTCCTAATTAATCCATACCCTGTAACCCCTTCTGTTTTAGTGGCATTACTGCCTTACTTGGGATGATACCAACTAAAACATTAAATGCAATGTCAATCACTATCTACTGTTCTCCTGATTACTCTTTTCTCTTTCTGCTCATCATTAATGTTTCTGTTCCTAATTAATCCATACCCTGTAACCCCTTCTGTTTTAGTGGCATTACTGCCTTGTTGGGATGATACCAACTAAAAACATTAAATGCAATGTCAATCGCTATCTACTGTTCTCCTGATTACTCTTTTCTCTTTCTACTCATCATTAATGTTTCTGTTCCTAATTAATCCATACCCTGTAACCCCTTCTGTTTTAGTGGCATTACTGCCTTACTTGGGATGATACCAACTAAAACATTAAATGCAATGTCAATCACTATCTACTGTTCTCCTTATTACTCTTTTCTTTCTTTCTACTCATCATTAATGTTTCTGTTCCTAATTAATCCATACCCTGTAACCCCTTCTGTTTTAGTGGCATTACTGCCTTGCTTGGGATGATACCAACTAAAACATTAAATGCAATGTCAATCGCTATCTACTGTTCTCCTTATTACTCTTTTCTATTTCTACTCATCATTAATATTTCTGTTCCTAATTATTCCATACCCTGTAACCTCCTTCTGTTTTAGTGGCATTGCCTTTACTTGGGATGATACCAACTAAAACATTAAATGCAATGTCAATCGCTATCTACTGTTCTCCTGATTACTCTTTTCTCTTTCTGCCCATTATTAATATTTCTGTTCCTAATTCATCCATACCCTGTAACCCCTTCTGTTTTTTGGCATTACTGCCTTACTTAGGATGATACCAACTAAAACATTAAATGCAATGTCAATCACCTATCTACTGTTCTCCTGATTACTCTTTTCTCTTTCTGCTCATCATTAATATTTCTGTTCCTAATTCATCCATACCCCTAACCCTTTCTGTTTTAGTGGCATTACTGCCTTACTTGGGATGATACCAACTAAAACATTAAATGCAATGTCAATCACTATCTACTGTTCTCCTGATTACTCTTTTCTCTTTCTGCCCATCATTAATATTTCTGTTCCTAATTAATCCATACCCTGTAACCCCTTCTGTTTTAGTGGCATTACTGCCTTACTTGGGATGATACCAACTAAAACATTAAATGCAATGTCAATCGCCATCTTACTCTTTGGGATGTTCTCCTGATTACTTATTTTTTCTCTTTCTGCCCATCATTAATATTTCTGTTCCTAATTCATCCATACCCTGTAACCCTTCTGTTTTACTGTTACTCCTTATTACTCTTTTCTCTTTCTGTGGCATATAATCTGCCTTAACCCCTTCTGTTTTAGATGATACCTTACTTGGGAAAACATTAAATGCAATGTCAATCACTATCTACTGTTCTCCTGATTACTCTTTTTCTCTTTCTGCTCATCATTAATGTTTCTGTTCCTAATTAATCCATACCCTGTAACCCCTTTTATTTCAGTGGCATTACTGCCTTACTTGGGATGATACCAACTAAAACATTAAATGCAATGTCAATCACTATCTACTGTTCTCCTTTACTTTTTCTCTCTTTTTGTTTCTTTCTGCTCATCATTAATATTTCTGTGATACCAACTAATTAAATCCATATCCTGTTCTCCTGAACCCCTTTCTGTTTTAGTGGCATTAATCATACCCTGCTTCTGTTTTAGTGGCATTACTGCCTCACTTGGATGATACCAACTAAAACATTAAATGCAATGTCAATCACTATCTACTGTTCTCCTTATTACTCTTTTCTCTTTCTGCTCATCATTAATGTTTCTGTTCCTAATTAATCCATACCCTGTCACCCCTTCTGTTTTAGTGGCATTACTGCCTTACTTGGGATGATACCAACTAAAACATTAAATGCAATGTCAATCACTATCTACTGTTCTCCTTATTACTCTTTTCTCTTTCTGCTCATCATTAATGTTTCTGATCCTAATTAATCCATACCCTGTAACCCCTTCTGTTTCAGTCGCATTACTGCCTTACTTGGGATGATACCAACTAAAACATTAAATACAATGTCAATCGCTATCTACTGATCTCCTGATTACTCTTTTCTCTTTCTACTCATCATTAATGTTTCTGTTCCTAATTAATCCATACCCTGTAACCCCTTATGTTTTAGTGGCATTACTGCCTTACTTGGGATGATACCAACTAAAACATTAAATGCAATGTCAATCACTATCTACTGTTCTCCTGATTACTCTTTTCTCTTTCTGCTCATCATTAATGTTTTGTTCCTAATTAATTAATGTTTCTGTTCCTTGCCAGGATAACCAACACAAAACATTAATCCAATCACCTACTGTAACCCTTTCTCTTTCTGTTCATTAGTGGTTTCTATTACTCCATACCCTGTAACCCCTTCTGTTTTGATACCATTAACTAAAAAACATTAAATGCAATGTCAATCACTATCAACTGTTCTCCTGATTACTCTTTTCTCTTTCTGCTCATCATTAATGTTTCTGTTCCTAATTAATCCATACCCTGTCACCCCTTCTGTTTTAGTGGCATTACTGCCTTACTTGGGATGATACCAACTAAAATATTAAATGCAATGTCAATCACTATCTACTGTTCTCCTTATTACTCTTTTCTCTTTCTGCTCATCATTAATGTTTCTGTTCCTAATTAATCCATACCCTGTAACCCCTTCTGTTTTAGTGGCATTACTGCCTTCTGTTTTGGTACTTGGGATGATACCAACTAAAACATTAAATGCAATGTCAATCACTATCTTCTCTGTTCTCCTGATTACTGTTCTTTTGTCACCCCTTCTTTTTAGTGCTTACTGCCTTCATTAATGTTTCTGTTCCCTTATTAATCCATACCCTGTAACCCCTTCTGTTTCAGTGGCATTACTGCCTTACTTGGGATGATACCAACTAAAACATTAAATGCAATGTCAATCACTATCTACTGTTCTCCTTTATTACTCTTTTCTCTTTCTGCTCATCATTAATGTTTCTGTTCCATACCCTGTCACCCTTCTGTTTCAGTGGCATTACTGCCTTACTTGGGA